TTTTTTTTTTTTGGTACCAGGGATCGAACTCAGGTCCTTGCGCTTGCGAGGCAGGCAACAGAACCACTGAGCTAAATCCCCGGCCCATCAGGTTGTAATTTTTGATAATACCCAACCTAGAACCCCTGCCTATCAGAATGCTGAGTTGGATCTAATACCAAGATTAAAATATTATACTGTCTGTTAGTCTTCTAATGTCACAAAAGCAATAGTTTCCAATTAGCATTTTCATACCATCTCAGTAAAGTCACAAAACTAAGGGATAATTCTTAATTACCATTTTCATACAATCTCAGTAAAGCAAAGCACATTTAGTCCTTAGAATACCTTAAAATTCTATTGTTAAAAACGCAGGGCCGGGGATTTAGCTCAGTGGTTTCGGCTGCCTGCTGCGCAAGCACAAGGACCCGAGCTCGATCCCCGGTACCAAAAAAAAGAAAGCATAGGTACATAATCCCCACCTCAGCCAATAAAATGAATGCATATTAGTCATTGTAAATACACTAACAAGACTAGAGCAGTCTCTGACCTGTAGTCCACCAAGCTACCTTGCATATTACTCAGACAGGAGAACGATTACAAACCCTTAAAGGAAACCTAACTACATTTTACACAGGAAAATTCAGTACGTAGAGAATTTTATCTCCTAACATTTCTCAATAATGCATAAGATGATAAGAAAGTAAATTAAAGTGGAAAGTAAGTATCTCTTTGAAAAAAAGAGCAATTGGAGAAAACTGTAGGAATTAATAGGTAATTGTCGGGAGGAAACTTTCATAATGGCTCTTCAAAGATTCATTGCAAAAAAGAACAAAGATTGAGAAGAGGACCCATACTTTCTAATTTCTACTTCTGAAGAACTGTAGATCACAATAAACTTACCTTCATTTTTGCTTGTTCAATAAATTCAAAACATTCTGGAAAATAAGACAGGATACTGGTTTCAGGCAGATCCAATATAGAAATGCTCTTATATGTAAACTCATTGGGGAAAGCATTTTCAACTCCATATGCAACATTGAGAATGTGAGTCACCTTAAAGAGAAAGAAAAGACAACTTTTTAAAAGTCTCATAGGGGCCGGGGATTTAGCTCAGTGGTTCCGCCGCCTGCCTAGCAAGCACAAGGACCTGAGTTTGATCCCCGGTACTCCCCCCCAAAAAAGTCTCATTAATTAGGTTACCTAAAAAGAGGCTGTGATGTTACATCTATGACACAAATAATAAAAAAATTACACGTGATGCACTTGAATAATACTACTTCCAGGGAGCTTTCTCTGACTGCCACATCCCGCAGAGGTTCTCTTTCTAGACACTCTACTTGCTCCTCCCACTTAGAGCTTGGGCACTAGAAATCCACCAGGGTAGGGACCTTGCTCAACTTTGTGTTATAAGTAAACCCTTGAGGGAACAGTAAGCTTAGCAAACAATACTGAAAGTATCTGTCACATAAATCAGCAAATATCCATATAAAATGTTAAGCAGGGAAAATATACCAGTGGTAAACAATTCCCCTTTTGATAATTACCTCCATATTTTCCTTTATATTTTTTACCAGTGAAATGCTTCTCAAATGCAGCTGCACCTTAGAATTACCTGGTGAGCTTTAGAAAACTATCAATGCCACAGAACCTCAGCCCCAGAGATCCTAATGAATTAGTCTGGCTGAAAAGTGAGAGGAGGGTCATGAAAGATTTTCTTTCCAATGCTACACTCAAGCAGTCTCCTCCTATTCCATCCCTGTGTTTCAGCCCCTTTCCTAGAGTTCTCTAAGCATGTGGAAGGAGCCATCTGGAAAGGCCATTAAGAGAATCCAAAGGCTAAATGGAGTTGAAAAGCAGATCACTCTTGTCATGACAATACTTCTCATACTTCTCAGTGTATTTATTCTCTTTTCTTAGCCTGGGTCTTAAATTTTGCCTCACCTCAGTATTTCCATGCACTTCCCATGTACCTCAATATCTGTCCAGCCTTGCCAACCACACAGGTATAGCTCTGGCGGTGTCCCACTCCTGCCTCCAGCGGAGCTGACTGGATTTGGGTGGACAGCTAAAGATAGGCTGCTCAGATTATCCTTAGAAATTTTTTCAATGGGTTCAAAACACAGAGTGATCCACAAACTTGAGAATTTTAAGACAACCATTTCGTAAAGTATTCGCAGGGAAATGGAACAAGTTCTGCTATGCAGTAAGACGACTGGAGCAGATGGGCAGAAGGCTGTGGAGAGGGGCCATCTTGGAAGGCCTCCCACTGCCCGGCTCCAGTCCCTACTGGGGCACAGCCACTGCCTGCCCTGGGGCCCAGAGGGCGCCCTGAGTAACACACACATTCTCATAATTTTCAATTATGAACAGTGCTGCAATTTTAATTTGGGACATATTATATGCTACCCTTAGTTTTTCATCTTCTAAGTCCTTTTTTCTAGGCATATAGCAGGCATTCAAGAAAAACCTTATTAATAATGCAACCATAATTATTTCTAAACACTAAAATTAACTTCCTATAGAAATTTCTGAGGGGATGTAGGAAGGGAAGGGGGAAGGAAGGAAAAAGAATTAAGATGTGTTATGCACATGTACCAACTCCCCATGATGAATGTAATTATTATTTTACCCTAAGGTATACTAATTTATTAGTGAAAGTAAAACACTGACATTTGTTCTGTTTTTTGAAATATTGATACACAAGTTTTGCTCTTGGGATATGCAGATTCTTACATTTTTATGTCATTTAAGCCCTTTTTTGTCATTGTCAGGTAGTAATATGTAAAACAAACCAAGGAGGGGCCAGTTTAAATGCAAGTCAGTAAGATGACAAGTAAAAATTATCAGACTAGTTAATGAATTAATAGTACTTTCTTTCAAGAAATAACTGCAAGTATTGACCACCTAAATTTTTTTTTTTGGTACCAGGGATCGAACTCAGGTCCTTGAGCTTGTGCAGCAGCCAGTGAAACCACTGAGCTAAATCCCTGGCCCTCACCTAAAATTTTTTATCCTCAATTCAAATCAAAATGTTTCCTCAGAGCTGTGGGTGACCAAGATAAATAGAAAAACGGCCTTATTTATTCTCTAGATATATGCTAAATATCAGAGAAGGGAAAAACATGTTCATTGATGGTAACAATATAAGGCAGAAAGTGTTAAGGGCTAGAAGAATGAACTATTAGGGGACCAAGAGGGAAGAAGAGATCACTGAACTCACTGCCCTGAGAGCCCTGACACTGCTATTCTCTCAGCCTGGATTGCTCTTTCTCCATCCAAGCCCTGGCCCACCATCATAAGGTCCAGTTGAAATGCCCCACCCTCCGAGGGGCCCAGCTCAATTCGAAGCATTCCCCTGCAACTCCTCTCCTTGCTTTGCTTTGATTTTTTAGAGAAGAAATTCTTATCTGAAAGCACCATGTTTTAAGACCAGGGACTTTACTAAGTAGTCTGTTGACCTCCATATCCCTGTACTTAGAAAGGGACTAGAACAGAGTTAAGTGCTTGCTATTTTCTGCACAGATAAATGATTAAGATACAAAATGTTACACTACCAAGTTACTTCCAGTGGAGACTCCTCATTTTCATATACTCCACTTGCTCATGGGCAAGAGTAAGAGTTGCTTCCAAATCCCTTCTTTTCCATACTGCCGGAAGGTTCCTTGCTCACTGGGTTCACAAAAACTGGTTATTCTACCTTCTGCTCACTTTGTCCTTTGTGCACCTCTTTGTCTGCTGAATCAGACCTCAACCCCACATAATCCTGGATGAGAGCAACGTCCATCTGAGCTTGACAGTCCCCAGCCCAGCTTACCTCTAATGATCGTCATCACTCCACTTCAATCACCCTCCTTCAGGGCCAATGTCAGGGCTGCTCTAGCTCTAACACCATTAATTTAGGCATTCCACTTTCTTCCACTCAGTTACTCCCACTAGACCTCACGAAAACTACCAGTTTCTTATCTTTCTACTTTCTTATCAGAAAGCCCCCTCTTGTCATCTCTCCCTTTTCTATTTAGCTTATAGTCCACGCACGGCCCACCATTTGCTTTTCTATTCATTTTATAGTTGATGGTCCAATCCCCTAACCCTGTCTGATAAGAGATCATTCTGTACCCAGACTACTGAGCATTGCTGGGGAAGAACACACAGTGTTGCCTTTCATGCTTCACATAAATTAATGACAGAAAACCTCTCTTGCCCTTCAGCAATGAGTAACTATTTCTCTGGTAGGTTCTTGCCCTCATTCTCCATATTAGCTCTTTCAAACCTTCCCCACACTCCTAAAAACTTTCAACTCTATCATCCCTTCCTTATTCCCAGAAAACTATGTCACTTATTACTGCATAGTAGAAAGAGAAGCATCACATAGAAACCTGCAAAGCTTCCCATCAAGTCTAAGCACATCACCTACACCTGTACCCACCCTTTCCTTCTGCCTTCCTACTGCAATGAATGATGTGGTCGTGCATCCTTTTAGAGGCTCATTCCAGTACCTGTGCTTGGGGTCACTTCCTCTAGCTTTCCTGGCACTTCCATCTGTCTATAATCCTTTTTCTATATCAATTCCTTCCTCTACCACTAGCCTTAAAACACACTCAAAACTCCCCCATCTCCCTCCCTTGACTTCAGTGTCACCTACGTATGGCTCCTCTCCATTTTCTTTTTTCCTTTTGCTACCATCATTCCTCATTGCCCATCTACTTCTCACTCTTCTGAGATCTGGCTTTGGCCTGCAACTCAAATGAAACTGGTCTCATCAAAAGCACTAAATCTCTTTGTTACAAAGTTCGATGGACATGACTTAGTTCTATTTGTATTTCAGCTGACTCTCTCTTCCTTAAAATATTCCCCTTCTTTGGTGTCCATAAAACCCTATTTTGACCTTCATATAACCTCTCTTAGCTTCTCCTTTGTTCCTCCCCTGGGTCATTCATTACAGATTGGTATCACGCAGCCGACAGGGTCTAACAGAGGCCTGTCATAAGCCCTCACCTTTACTCTCCTTAAACCTACCTTTTCCCAAGGTGATTTCACCTACTCCAGTGATTTCAATCACTATTTATAAGCCCAATATTTCTAAGTATATACGTAACCTGTCTCCTGAACTTCAGACCCCGTATAGCCACACTGTCTACTGAACAATTTCAGCTCAATGATCCATGGGATCTGAAATTTAAAGCAGTCTTCAGGCTGAGGCAAAAATGATCAAAAGTTCAAGCCCTAGACAACTTAGTGACTTAGGTGAAAACCCTGCCTTAAACTTTAAAAATAAATAAATAGAAATAAAAGGGTTAGGGATACAGCTCAGTGATAAGACCCTGGGTTTGATCTTTAGTGTAAAAAACAAAACAAAAAACCAAACAAAAAAACCTGAGCTTGCTGTTTTTCCTCAATCTTTTTCCTCCTACTTTCTTCCCTATCTCGTGGAATGACACCAACCCTACTAAGTCTCCAAAGAATGCTAGTTATCAGTCCTGCCTCCTTTTCTCTCAACCTCACCTTCTCCAGCCCCTCTAAAAAGACCCCCAAATCCACCCACCTTTCTCTACTTCCCCACTCCCTAATCTACACCACCATTATCTTTTTTTAGATTGCAGCAGTAGGCTCATAACTGGTCTCCTTGTCCCTAACTTGAGAAAAATTATAATCTATTCTCCACTGAGCTTCTAATGAGCAATATTTTTTAAGATACAGATTTCTCTGGGTAAAGTTTTTCATTGGCTTTCTACTGTGTTTTGGATCAAGTCCACATAATTCAATCTAGCTCACATGGCCTTTTGCGATCTGGTTCATGCTCACCTCTCAAGCTTGTCCCCTGCTACCCTTCCTTCTCACACTCTATTCCAGGGTTACTTTAACTTCTTTTCTACCCCTGACAGTATTAGCCTTTTCCTTGCTTTTGGACCTTCACATATGACAGTTCTCCTATTAAACACTTTTCTGGCTGCTCCTTCCCCCTTTCTCCAGAGCAAAATGTCACTATTACTTCCTCTAGGAGCCTTTCCAACTCTCCTATCCCCAAACAAAACAAAACAAAACAAACATGGATTAAGGGCATTATCCTCTAGGCATTCCTACAGCACCCTGCACCTCCCCATCAAAGCACACATATGATGTGCTGTATCTCTTCTCTCTGTGTCCCTCAGAGATAACCCTTATGTAAACAGGAATCTCTTACACTCCACAAACCACAGCAGTTCCATGACCTGAAACATGACCTGCTTAACACAATGGTAGATGGTTAAAAATCCTTTTGAGTAAATACCAAAAATAAGTAATAAATGGCATCAGTTGTATGAAAGAGGATATGAGGAAATGTTATAAGGGAAGGGGTGGTAGGCACAGGTAGCTCTTTTTACTGATCATCTTTCCATCACTGGGATAAAATACCCATAACTTAAAGGAGGAGAAGTTTGTTGATGATGGCCAAAATGTTATCAAATGTTATCAAAGATGGACCAATAAAATTTTCCTAAATAAACATAACAATTAAAATACTTCCTATCTGTAGTACCAGATTTGAAGAATTTTTTTTACCTTGTGCTTTTTCAGTACATCCAGATCATGAGCGGCATCTTGTGACCCTATAAGAAATAAATCATATCGCCTTGAACATAAATATAATCATCCTGACTTTTTATATAAATTTGTACAACAATTCTGTTACTCTTTAAAAGAAAAAAATAACAATGGGGAGGACTTCAGTTCACTTTTCTGAAGGCCAATTTGGTAATATTCACTATCAAATATTCAACTTCTACATTATATATTCTTTGGCTTTTCCACTTCTAAGAATCTGTCCTAAAATTTATAGATGTTGCACTGATTGTTATAAGGATGTTCGTTATAGTATTGCCATGCCAAATAAACAACCAAACAAAAAAACCCAAAAAGCCCAATATAGGAGCTGGGTTAAATGAAAGATGGTATGATTATGTACTGAAATATATACAGCCATAAGCACCATTAGAAATAAGAAGTGAAGAATATTTATGGCATTGATACATGTTCTCAAAATATTCAATAACAAAAGCAGCTTACAAAATACAATCAGTCATTTTTATAAAAATCAAGTACATGTATATGGTTAAAAATAGGAAGTATACAGAACAAAATGTTAACAGCATGGTTAAAGCTAATTTTTTCTTCTTTATACTCCTCTGTATTTTTTATAATAAACACCTTTTTCCTTTATTATAAAAGAGTATTAAGAAAATCAAACACCCGCAAAATCACTTAGTGGCAGCTGGTTCGGGAACACCTCGTAGCGACTCCCACCCACGCTCCAGGCCTGCCAGGGCTGTGCCCTTTCAGTCTCTTTCCGCACCTCCCACACTTTGAAACTAGTTCTAGTTCATCAGCAAATTCACTTGGGAGGATAACTCATTCAGATCAAGGAAGTTTAACTTTTGAAAAACTGGGGCACTTACATTTAAAGATTTCAAGCATTTTACTTTCCTGAATTCCTTTACCTTTCCATAAACAGTGCTTTTCTCACCTTCCTTATGTGGGAAATCAGCCAGTTTTTATTATACACTGAACTCTTGACTTACAAACTTAATTCGTTCACAAGGGGTGGTTGTAACTGAAGTTGGTCAGTGAAGGCTCAGGCTCTTCTACACAGCCTTCAAAGTCTCTCTCCTGTACACAGGCAGATCTTAGTGTCCCTAGAGAGACATTGGCCCAGGGTTTCTCAATTAACCCCACACAGGAAAGGATGTTGTAATGTTCCTCCCAGAACTCTTTAAGGGTTAAATCTGTATCTGAGACCATCTGGAAGCATGAGCAGCCAGTATTTGGGTTGTAACTCAAGACTTTGTTCATAAGTTAAAACTAAAATCTGGTCGTAACCCAAGTTGTTCATATGTCAGGCCAGTCGTAACTCGAGGGTCCACTATGATTTTAGGTAGTCGTGGGGGCAGCAAGTACAGCTTAGTCATTATTCTTTTAATATCAAGCTCACAGGCTCCCTACTAGGAGGGACTAGGCTTTATTCCATTTAAAATTTGGTCTAAACTAGGTGTAGTGGTGCAAGCCTTTAATCCCAGCACTCAGGAGGTTGAGGCAGAAGGATCACCATGAGTTCGAGGCCAGCCTGGGCTATATAGCAAGACCCTGCCTCAAAAAACGAAATAAAAAAAATTTGGCCTATCAAAATATTAACATTTGTTAAAACTGTATGGTAGACACATAACTGTTATATAATCCTCTGTAATTTTCTATAAATCTGAACTACTTCATAATCTTAAAAAAAATTCTAACTTTGCTACTATAGGAAGTCCTATCCATTTCTAAGGGGAAAAAAAATCAGTTCAAATAATTAAAATTTGGTAGTTTAATATGTATGTTACCTTTTAAATAATTCTGTATTTCTTAAAATAGCAAAACCTGAAATACAAGTTAAATGAAATTCTTCCATGTTTTTACACTACTCCATTGTTATTACAAATGCTTAACAATGTTGGATGCTTTCATAATTTCCATTACACACATACACCAAATAGAACAGATAGCCTGATTCAGAGTTGGCTGCCATATTTTGAAAATTATTTCCAAAACATAACTATACTGATATAAATTAATATTCTTGAGACAAAAAATGTAATTTGTATCTTCTGCCTTTTCAAACAATGAGAACATTAAATGAGTGAGTGTTTATGGTGTGGAAAAACAATTTATATTAGCAGAAATGGATTTTAGGTAATCAGCTTGTGTTTTTCATCTAATACTCTACAATGTTCATTTCAAGTTAATTCCTTCTAAATTCTAGATACAAACATCAGCTTTTCTCCAATTTTAAATGAATGTTTTGTGATACCATCTTGTGTTAATCTTTTAATGGAAAATAAAGAAATAAATGCTATAAATTATATATTAGGAACAGGTATTTCTAAAAACTCTTTGTTTTGGAAAAGCAGAATGTCGTCCTTTTGTAAGCTATTTTAATTAAGAACAAAAGCCAAAGACCACTTTAAGAAGTTAATGATTTTAACAGTGGTCACATGAATATATACTTGTGTTAAAATGCATAGAACTACACCAAGTCAATTTAACTATATGATAAGTTTTAAAAAGATGACTAGGAATGTAACTAAGCAGAGGCCGAATTAATAAAAAATTGTACTTAACATTGACACAAAGCACTCTAATATTCATTATCTCAGGAACCATTATAAAAATGTTACAGATGAGGTAACTGATTTTTTAAAGTACACACACACACACACACACACACACACACACACACTGCCAGAGCTGGAACTTTGAACTAGTTTGGTGTTTTCCAATTATAGTATATGAATCAATATGAATCATAAAATATAGGCTTGGTAAGATCTCTAGAACCTTATTTCTGTCTTTCAAAGAAATCATTTAAATGAAAATATCAAATAATGTGTAAATTCAGATGTAGCTTGGCTTAATTTACAAATCATTATTTTCATAATCATAAGAAAGTTATTATATTATTGCCAAGGAAATTCCATTTTAAAGAAATGTTTTATTTGAAAAAATTTTTAGTATTGAACATTCATCACTGGATGAACATCAGTGTATTAATTACTCTGAGGACTAACAATATTCCTGAAAGACTCACAAAATAAAGAGCTATAGGAATTTAAAGTATTATTTGCCTCCCAAGAATACTGCGTTTCCTAGATCTCAAAAATATAAACCTTACAAAGTATCTCAAATGTTTCACCAGGAATTGAAGAGTTCAAAATGTTACCATTTTAGATACTTTTTTTTCCTTTTGGCATTACTGGGGATTGAAATCAGGGGAACTCTACCACTACTACATCTGTACCCCTTTTTACTTTGAAACAGGGCCTTGCTAAATTACCCAGACTAGCTTTACAATTCTCCTGGCTCAGCCTCCTCAGTAGCTGGGGTTATAATCATTTTGCCACCAAGTGCAGCTCTGGTTAGACTTTTTTCTGTTCTTTGTTTGTTTTAAGACAATGTCTTGTTAAATAGCCCAGGATGGCCTCAAACTCGTGGCAATTCTCCTGCCTCAGCCAGACATGCACCACCACGCCCAGCAAGACTTCTTAATTGAAGAGGTATAATGGGTAAAAAGTACACCTTTTAACAACCCAGAAAAGAAGGAAATTTCTACTTATCGTTCAGAGCCACGTGTAAGATTTTTTTCTTTGTGATTATACTAATTAAATAAAGAAATGAGAAGTATAATTTAATGGTAGGATTTTTTGGAACTTTTTATGTTCCATTTTCTTTCTTTCTTTCTTTCTTTCTTTTGGTACCTGGGATCAAACTCAGGACCTTGCACTTTCGAGGCAGGCAGCGGCACCACTGAGCTAAATCCCCGGCCCCTTCCCCCATTTTATTTCCCCATTTTATCTTTTCCTGCTTTTTTTTCACTAGTGCATATTTGTTATACAGACAAGGGGGTTTCATTTCAGCAGATTTGTACATGCACATACTGTGCATACTGTACATATAATCATGTACCTACTGTGGTCATTTTCCCCATCACCTCCTCCTCCCTAGTTTCATATGGTTTTTTTTGGGGGGGGCTAATGGTATAATGTATTTTGATCGTATTCACACTCCCAGATTTTTGAAGTGGTACTAGGAGTTGAACCCAGGACCTCTGCCCTGAGCTCTTTCCCCACCTGACTCCCTTTTTAAATTTTGAGACAGGGTCTCACCCAATCACTAAGTGGCTCAAACTTGTGATCCCAGCTCATTAGAGTTTATACACTAACTGCAAACAACAGATTACATTTCATGGCTCTATTTTCTTTATATTCCACCAAAAATAAAAGTTGCATGGCGTGCAGTACTGGGAAATAACCCAGAGGTTTTGGCAAGGGAGGTGAGGAGCTCTTAGAATTAACCCTGAAACAAAATCTGGACACAAACAACCCCTGCATCATTCATGAGAAAGAACTTTAGTAAGAGGGTGTTCATAACTAGGCAGAGAAAGACCATCTGTCTTTCAGAAAGAAGGTTTTGCCTGATCAAAGTGTCCCAAAGACTCTTCCAATCTGAGAACACTACCTTGATTGGTTCACTTTGGATAAATTCACATAATAAAATAACAAAGGTTCATGAACACCCTGAATTGGTGAATAATACAGAAGAATTTTACGTAATTATTTTAAACCATTATAACCACAGTGGAAGCCAAACAACTGGGAAAAAATGCCTAGACATATTTTCTTTCCTAGATACAACAAGCAAGAGACCTGGGTAAACTTTCCAAACTAACTTAAAGGATTTGCTTAATTTTTCACTTGGTGAGAATACAGTATAATTTTTCCCTGCACTACAAAACCTAGTTGGAGATATCTATTCTGAGATTTTTTTTTTCAGTACTAGGGACTGAATCCAGGGAGCACTGAAGATATATGGCCAACCCTTTGTATTTATTATTTTGAGACACAGTCTAGCTAAATTGTCCAGGCTACTCTCGAATTTGTGATTCTCCTGCCTCAGCCTCCTGAGAGTAGCTGTGATTACAGGCGTGCACCAGCATGCCTGGCCTAATCTGTGAATTTAAGATATCCTAAGTAACAATTGACGAAATACTTAATACAATAGTTTATACAGATGCTGTGATTTGTTAAAAAAAAAAAAAACTTACATCAACGTCACCACAACCCTACAAGTACAGGCTTTTTAAATAGCCAGAGAGGACAAATGATTGGCACTCGCTAATCTAGGAGATTAGAGGCAGGGTGGAGCGGAAATCTTGGTCTAATCTGAAAGTTTGTGTAATGCTCGAGAGCAGGGGTCCATCGGCTTGATGCCCAGCTCTGTTATTCACCAGATCTGTTACCTTGTGCAAAGTACTTAACCAATCTTAAATCCCAGTACCCATTTGCAAATGGAGCTGACAACCCCCATTCGGAGTTTTTATTTGAAAGGAGACATTCGCAGTGAGCTCTTCACACAGTACCAGGGTATTTATGACTCCCAAGTCACTGTTCTTTCTACTAGAGGGTACCTTGGCTGCACAGTGACAAGCCATTTAACCTTCCGAGCCTTAACTTCTCTATTCATAAATGAAAAATAATTCAAACCTATTATTGACAAGTTAACAAGTTGGTACTTCCACAATTTTGCTTCTTTTGCTCTGGGTTGACCGTGCTTGTACAGGGATTCAGTATTTCCATACAATGAGAAATCACAAAACCATCAGACTCAGCTATAAAAGAAAAGTCTTCCTTCACAACACTCCAGGAACAGACATCAAGAGCAGATGTGGCCACAGGAGCTCTGTTCTGAATTCTGTACGGTTCCCATCAGCTGAGCAGACAGACAAGCACACAGCTACAAACAACCTCCTCTCTACAGCTTCGCCCTTGACATTTGTTGTTTTGCCTGATAAAAGCAATCGCGATTGTTTAAAATTTAAAAAACAAACAAAAAAGCTATGGTTTTTTATGATCCAAGAAAACACAACAGCCATCTCATCCTCCAGAGAAGTTAGAAGACGGCGGGGAAAGCTTTTCTAAAATTCAAACATCAGGTGCCAAGTGCTCCTAGAATCCATGCTACTTATGGATTTATGGTGGAAGCAAAAATATCGCTCTCTGCTTAGGGAAAGTTCCACATCCGAAAGAGGAAAGCTCCCGCCCCCAAAAGGTGGGTGGCAGAGGGCGAGGTGCTCTACTCACCCAGGAGCAACCAAGGCTTCAGCACGCCAACCTGCAGGTCCGAGCTAAGGTCCTGCACGAAGCCACAAGCGCCCGCACCGCTCGGCTCCACCTCCGCCACCACCTGCACCCCGGCCTCGTTCCGCGCCTCCACGATCTTCCTCCCCGTGACCGTGGTCACCCTGGTGCGCTGCTTCCTGAGCTTCTCCCGGGAGAAAGCTTGGATTTCCTGGCACAGGGAGTACATCCCCTGAGCAGTGGCAGGGAACAAATACGAGCAAACGCATCAAGCACACAGGGGCTGAGCTGCCCGTCCCTCGTGTTCACGTAACCAGTGCAGCCTCCCGGTGCACGCCCGGGCGGGGACAGAGCGGGGACCGGACACCCCCGGGGCGCTTCGCCGGCGCGACCCAGGAAGGCGAGGTTTGATTGGCCGCTGAGACCCGGGCTCCGATTGGCTGCTGACCCTTCTTCCTATTGGCTGCGTTTTCCAGACGAGCTGCGTTGGGTCCGGGAGTTTTCTTAAACTGGCGGTCTCCATCTGTGAAGGTTGTACACGCAGGATGGTAAAGTTAGGACCCAATTGTGAAGGCCACGATTGCTGTCAGTCATGGATCGCTCCCTCCTCCAGCAGCGGCGGAGTGCACTGCACGCCTTGCTCCGCCTGCCCCGGGCCTGGCCGCTGCTGCGCGGTTACTTCTCTTTGCTTGTGTCCCTCTCACCTGCTGCTGTCACTGCCCGCACGAACGTCCAGGAGACCTAATGTGTGCATATTTGTGAGGCGAAGATTTAAGTAAATCTAAAGGGATATTCGGTTTTTCAAGTTTGTTTTCCTATGTAGATGAGCAAGGTTTAAAGTGTATTTTCTGACTCTCCACCTACATTTTGGGCCGCAGAAGACTCAGTGCAGTAAACGTGCACTTTTTAAAAATAAATTCTATTGGTACATTTTAGATATGCAATATAATGACATTCATCATTGGAAACTTGCACCTTTACATAATCTCTCTTGGTTCTTATTTTTCCCCATTCCCCTGCCCTCCCTTCAACCGCTCCATTCCTCCCTATTTGCAAAGACTTTGTTTCAATATTTTCATTTTCTCATATTCCATTCCCTTCTTTCTTTTCCCCTACCCCTCCCACTTCTCTTGCCCTTTGCCCCTTTTCTTCCTATTTCACATTATCTATTATACCTTTTAGTCCTTATTTACATTCAGTTTCTCACACTAGAGAAACTATTCTGTATTTACACACGTGTGTCCTATTTATTTCACTTAAGAGTATCGCCTCAATGTGCATCCATTTAGCTATAAATGTCTCTAATT